GTATCGATAACTATACAACTTTCAAAGAACAGCATAGATTATCCACAACACAAAAACACTAAACCACACTAAACAACGAAAGGTTTATTAGACCTTTTACTATCGAAATCATAAAAGAAATAATCCTTAGAAATAACTTAAAGCAGAGTTTTAAATCTTTGATCGTGGCCTGGATCTGATGACGTGGCATGGAATGTCGATGTGAGGAGGCAATGTGGTATATTCTAAAATGACCGGTAGGGAAGCTCCCGGCCTCCCAGAAGAAGAATGAAGGATCGATGACACTACAGGGGCAGAATGTTACGAATTGACAGGAAAGCCGGCACTTCACCATCGCTTCATGCCCCGCACAATAATTTTTATTATATATGAAATAATAATACGTTTTCGTATAACGTATTATTATTTCATATAACAAAAAAGACTTTTGATTATTAACTTGTTTCCATTTATAAGACCACCGCTGTAATATCAAGCAGTCATTATAATAAATTACTTTCGTCATCGTTTCTCAACATTTTTTGAACCCTCCAATAACAAGCAAACCTTAATCTTATAAATTTACCTTTACAAAGCAAACCATTCAAACTTACCGAATGTTAATTTCTTAAACACTTTTTATTAAAAACTATGTTTCAGCAATTCCAGCCATTTAAAGATGGCAGCGACAAGCGAAAGCACTGATGAAGTTAAAGAATTGATAACTACACAACTTTAAAATAACAGCGTAGATTGTTTACAACATTAAAACATTAAAAAATAAAAGGTTAAACAACAAACAACAACAATAAAATATTAAAAAACGAACTCCTGAATAAAAAATAATGCTTTTAAAATAACTTACTCAAAGTGGACTTTGATCAATCCTTGGTCGTAATCGAACCGTATCATAAAACTATCAAATACCTATTGACACCTTCAAACACCAGAAATTCAATCAATATATTCAAACACCAACCGCATATTTTAAACATTTTACTTTGGCATGAGATCATATTTTACATTGGTGTGAGTTATCCTTCCTACGAACAATAAAGAGATCAGCACCAAGCAGTTGATAGGGTGTGACAATCATCCAATGACACAAAAATAGCGGCGTTGACATACATCCTCAGGAAACAATTCCTTATTATTTGAAACGTCATCACATTTTGCACCGCTGCTAAGAGTAAAACCCAAATCCAAACACCTTATATATGAAATAATAATACGTTTACAAAATAACAAAAAAGACTTTTGATTATTAACTTGTTTATAATTGTAAGACCACTGCCGTAATATATTAAAATGACAAGCAGCCATTTTAATAAATTACTTTCGTCATCGTTTCTCAACATTTTTTGAACCCTCCAACAACAAGCAAACCTTAATCTTATAAATTCAACTTTACAAAGCAAACCATCCAAACTTAACGAATGTTAATTTTTTAAACGATTGTAACAGCAAAAGAAAGTTGTAGAATTGAAAACTTTGCAACTTATAAATAACCCAATTTCAAAGCTTTAAAAATGACCTGGAATATCCCCAAAAAATCATTGTTTACAAAGTAAAAATGAGCAAAATTCTACAACTCAGCTTGACTAGTCTAGCTAAACGCATTTCTCGTTGTTCCACACTTTCCTGAGTTCGAGAAGCAGTAGTGCGGACTTGTTTAAATTCTAGTCGTAATTGGCGCTGCGTGCTAGTTTCTGCGAACAAACTTAGTGCATTACGCTCACGGTTAGCACCTAGTCGTTGTTCACGCTCTGCGTCGGTTTCGAGAGATCGAACTAACCTGCGCATCTTAGAAACCCTTGAGTTTCGAGAGAGATTTGATTTTTTTTTCTAAGCATAGCTAAAATCCCTTCTTAATCCGACACTAACGATATTCAAAATAACGAAAAGTAATCGAATAAGTACGTAACAATTGCTAGTAAGTAGAAAAATAATAATTATTCGCAGAAAAGTAAAACACATCAACCAACACAAACAACAAAGGTAACCCCCGTTTCTATAGGATGAGAGCGGCCCATCGGCACCTATAACATCACTTTTTGGGAACGAAACCATAGCGCGATCTAACTCGACGCCAACGCCATCTAGTTAGTAAACGGAAACTACATATTATTTACCCAAATGAATTAATTAAATTATGAATTAAAATTAAATTGTCGTTAATTTAACAGACAAGTACATTATTTTTGCAATAAAAAGAATATGGTAACAGCAGAAAGGAACAAAACTAATAATTGCATACTTTAATCAATTACCTACAAAAATGTTAGATACCAGGTGTAGAATAACCAAGCGTAAGATATAACTTAGAACCAAAAGTTTGACTTGATTTACTTAACTAACTTACGTACGTAACTTTTTGTACCACCATTAAATCTGTTTAGTAATATTGGTGTGAAACTCTCCATACAATTAGATAAGACATGTAAAGTTCACAGATTTCCTAATGCAGATAAAATTTACAAAAATTTAAAAAAAAAATACGATTTTTCGAAACAATATTATGGGATTTAAACTCGCACCATTTAATGCGGTAATCGGTCGCCTGACCTTACCGCTAAATTCCCCGTTGACATATTGTTAAACAGCTGTTCCCTCGCAATTTATAATATTACTGCTCCGCTCCTTTATAAAAATAGCGTGATTATTATGTTCCCAGAGTTAAATTTTTATTTTAACTAATAAAATAACATGTCATTTTATGCATTCAATTACGAAGAAAAACCTTTCAAAATCAATATTGCTTACCTCCTATAACATACGGCGTGATAATATGTAGCCTTCCTTGGTTTATAAAGAACATTTTTGATGAATTTCAATTCAATCTATCTAGTAGTTTTGGCGTGAAGCCGTACCATACACACAAACAGACAAACAGACAAAAATATTCTAAAAAGTCACTTTTTGTCATCAGTTACGTTTTTCTAACAAAAGCCACTTATTTTTTCTCGAAAATTCTCAATGTACAGTTTTTCTTTCGTTACCGTTTTATTATATGTATAGATTTATAAGACCACCAGCGTAGTAAAAACACTCATTATTATAATATACTTTCGTCATCGTTTTTCAACATTTTCTGAACCCTCGATCAAAAAGCAAACCTTTACCTTTGAAATTCACATTTCCAAAGCAAACCATCCAAACTTAATGAGTGTTAATTTTTGAACATTTTTTATCAAAAACTATGTTTCAGCAATTCAAGCCATTTTAAGATGGCAGCAGCAAGCGAAAGCACTGATAAAGTTAAAGTATCGATAACTATACAACTTTCAAAGAACAGCATAGATTATCCACAAAACAAAACAAAAATCACACACTAAACCACACTAAACAACAAAAGGTTTATTAGACCTTTTACTATGGAAATCATAAAAGAAATAATCCTTAGAAATAACTTAAAGCAGAGTCTTAAATCTTTGATCGTGGCCTGGATCTGATGACGTGGCATGGAATGTCGATGTGAGGAGGCAATGTGGTATATTCTAAAATGACCGGTAGGGAAGCTCCCGGCCTCCCAGAAGAAGAATGAAGGATCGATGACACTACAGGGGCAGAATGTTACGAATTGACAGGAAAGCCGGCACTTCACCATCGCTTCATGCCCCGCACAATAATTTTTATTATATATGAAATAATAATACGTTTTCGTATAACGTATTATTATTTCATATAACAAAAAAAGACTTTTGATCATTAACTTGTTTCTATTTATAAGACCACCGCTGTAATATCAAGCAGTCATTATAATAAATTACTTTCGTCATCGTTTCTCAAGATTTTTTGAACCCTCCAATAACAAGCAAACCTTAATCTTATAAAGTCACCTTTACAAAGCAAACTATTCAAACTTACCGAATGTTAATTTCTTAAACACTTTTTATCAAAAACCATGTTTCAGCAATTCCAGCCATTTAAAGATGGCAGCAACAAGCGAAAGCACTGATGAAGTTAAAGAATTGATAACACAACTTTCAAATAACAGCGTAGATTGTTTACAACATTAAAACATTAAAAAATAAAAGGTTAAACAACAAACAACCACAATAAAATATTAAAAAACGAATTCCTGAATAAAAAATAATGCTTTTAAAATAACTTACTCAAAGTAGACTTTGATCAATCCTTGATCGTAATCGAACCGTATCCTAAAACTATCAAATATCTATTGACACCTTTAAACACCAGAAATACAATCAATATATTCAAACACCAACCGCATATTTTAAACATTTTACTTTGGCATGAGATCACATTTTACATTGGTGTGAGTTATCCTTCCTACGAACAATAAAGAGATCAGCACCAAGCAGTTGATAGGATGTGACAATCATCCAATGACACAAAAATAGCGGCGTTAACATACATCCTCAGGGAACAATTCCTTATTATTTGAAACGTCATCACATTTGGCACCGCTGCTAAAACCGAGGTAAAAAAACCCAAACCTAAACACCTTATTACCAACTTCTTTCCTCTAGACAATAAAAAAAGTTTCTTTCGAGTCTCCTATATACAAATCATTTACAATCATGCATCAGAATATAGTCAGCATACATGTAAAGAAAGAATTACTGAAACTCACGCTGGAGGAATTGCGAGATTCAAATACAAATCCAGACGTATTGTGTTTGTCGGAAATATTCCTGACGTCCAATCACAATAAATATATAATATGAATTAGGATCAACTTTCTGTGGAGATCAACAAAGAGGCGCAAATTGTATTTTAATTAAACAAGTATTAATTTATGAAGATTTAAACTTCACTACTGTCAATTAAATTATTAATAATTTCTATTTATAGAATCCCTAACTTTGGACTGAATGTGAACAAAATCTGACCCGAACTTGTTTTAAAAAAAATTGACTTGGTTTACATGAAGTCAGTAGGCGTTATATAAAAGACATGAAGATTGTTATTACGGGTGACTTTAATATCAATACGTTAAAACCAGGAAAAATTAGCAGCTATTATTATTATTAGCAGATTTCTGCAACAACTACAATTTAAAAATACACATTGACAGTCCAACTCGTAAAAGATCTTGCATAGATCATGTCGTGTAAATCTCTGCAGTAACACTTGTGACGTGGCGTCAAACTCTGCAGCAGCACTTGTGACGTGGTGCCGAACTCTGCAGCAGCACTTGTGACGTAGTGTCGATCTCTGCAGCAGCACACAACACCAAGCTGAAATCATGGTACAAGTGTTTACAACATTTGTAATGTTAGGGTTATATATCAGATGGTCCATTTTATTAATCAGAATGTGTGTGTGTGTGTGTGGCGTGTGTGCGTGTGTGCGTGCGTGTGTGCGTGCGTGCGTGCGTTCGTGCGTGAGTGCGTGCGTGCATGCGTGCGTGCGTGCATGCGTGCGAGCGTGCGAGCGTGCGTGCGTGCGTGCGTGCGTGCTTGCGTGTGCACTACAAAGTCTACTAGCCCTCTGTTTTGCCGTCGGTGGTTAAAAACATAGTTATCTATTTATCTATTTTGAATAGACAATATATCATCTATAGTCATAAGGTAATAGACGACTGTGGGAAAAGACATCATCAAATCCGATAGAGGACGCTATCGCCATTTAATATTAGAAATATTTGAAATACCCAGAGTGACAATGCAGAACATATAAATTTCATAATAGGAAGGATTTCACCATAGTGAACATGCTTGGCAGGGGAGTTGGCCACTGCAGTTCGTCATAGTTTTGAGCCTTTATCAGGAAGTTGCCTCTTACGTCACGTACGGGACAATATGAGAAATGCCGGAAAGATCTTACGGCTTCCGGTAGGTGGCGACATAACCATCTACTTACGTCAGACGTAAACAAACAGACCGGCGATAGGCTTCAGAGTCAAAGGTGTCAATTAATGCATATCTCTCCAATCTGACGTGAGAGGAAAAAACATGGTCAGTTTTTGAGTCTGTTTCTGTTGCCATTACCTTTACTAATAGGTTATGACGAGTGAGTGTCTTTGTGGGTGTATAATAGTGATGTCCTCCAGACAGAATAAGGACATTGCTTTCTCAACGGAGACTAGCCATGCTGCTCACTCTCGTAGTCCGATGCAACGGTAAATCAGATGAACACAAGTATCTTCCCAATAACGACTAAAATAAAAAACCACGGCTACCAGCCCGCTTGCAACTATGGCAAATATCCAACATATGAGGCAATCAAAGTGGAAGGTCTTTGTTCAGCGGTGAACTTTAATAGAGTGTAACGGTAACGGTAACGGTTGCAGGTGTCTTTGGGCTGCAGTATCCACTTACCATCAGGTAGACTGAAATCCGTTTGTTACTTCAATTTTACAGAAGAAAAAAACTACTTCTTGATAATTTCTTACGCAGTTGACAAATTACTATTACTGTGGTATTTGCAACAAGGTTGAAAATCGAGCAAAGGTCGGCTCACACAATACCAGCATCAAATAACAACATTAATACTAGCAGTATTAATGTGTTTGGTACGGTGAGTGTAGAGAACCGGAGACCCTTTTAACTGCAAACGATGAATGTATGTGTATATGGGCCACGGCATCCACTTGCCGTCAGGTGTACTGTGAGCTTACTTGTCACCCAATAATGTATAAAATAAAACAAAATACAGAGATGTTGGTCACGCTACCGACCTGTAGTCCAGTTGTACAGTAGTACAGCCGCGCTGCATCACGCTGTACCGCCGCCTGCAGCAGCACGAGCCATGTCCTACTGTCGACACCAGCACCACTGTTCCTGAACCTGGAACCATGTTGTAGGTGTTCACAATATCTGTGATGTTATTCTCATCAACTGTAGCGTTATTTAGATTTATGATAGCCAAAGAACATTAACATTATCAATTTTTAGCTTTTCAAAAAAATCTAGTGTTTTGGATAAAATATAGATAAGCTTAGATCCCTCCTAACATTGCTTTCTATAACATGTTCGTAATGTTTTGTCACATAAGGTTTAGCCGATATTATGAAGATCGACTCGGACACACAGACAAACACAATGTTACAAAATATTTGTTTATGTGTTATCTTGTCTCCTGTGTGCTTAATAGAAGCCAGTTATTTTAACATTACAGACAGACATTTCAATTTTATTAATATGTATAGATTTCCAATCAGTCAATGGCTGGATACGTCGTCTTACAAATTAGACATAATAAAAAAAGTGAAAGCAGTTCTAAGAACAAACAAGGATAAAATAATTTCCACACAACAGCTTCAGAAGAAGTTGTTAAGACACCAGCGTATAGAAAAAACCGGCCAAGAGCGTGTCGGGCCACGCTCAGTGTAGGGTTCCGTAGTTTCCCGTCCGTCACAATAGGTGTTCCCACTTATGAGTTTAAAGGTGGGTATCCATTATGTTCGTGCTCCAGCAGCGCTTCGCGCTCCTGCAACTGCTCCCGGTAGTGGGTACGTGCGCGAACATGAAGCGTGCAACATTGCACGCTCCGCTGCAGGTGCTCCGACTTTCCATCCAAGTTAAAAATGATTTTCCTAGAAAGTCCTTATAAAGTTCTACTTTTCAGATTTTTTTTCATATTTTCTAAACTTGTGGTTCAAAAGTTAGAGGGGGGGACACATTGTTTTTTACTTTCGGAGCGATTATTTCCGAAATTATTGACATTATCAAAAAATGATCTTAGTAAACCCCTATTCATTTTTAAATACCTTTCCAACAATATATCACACGTTAGGGTTGAAATTAAAAAAAAATCACTTCCCACTTTACATATAGGGGAGCTACCCTAATAAAAAAAAATTTTCCAATTTTTATTTTACCACTTTGTCGGCGTGATTGATACACATATTGGTACCAAATTTTAGCTTTCTAGTGCTAACGGTCACAGAGATTAAGCGAGGACGGACAGACGGACAGACAGACATGGCGAAACTATAAGGGTTCCTAGTTGACTACGGAATCCTAAAAAATTGAAACACCAACTTCATAAGCTTATGGGGAAATAATTTAACATTTTCACTGAAGTTTTTATTTCTTGATTTAGACTTTAATTTTTATTATAATTTTAATTTCCAATATCTTGAAAGGACCAATGAATTTTATAAGCCACTGAGCTCATGTTACTCAACGCAAGTAACGAGACTGTCGTCTAAATGTTTACGTATTAAAACTTTCATTCCCTATTTCCCTACCCTTAGTGGTAAAGTTATTTCTCTAATCCATATGGGACAAACACTGAATTATAACCTGTGGGAGACTTCTCCACAATTAACTCACACATTCCACGTGCACAATACACCATACAGGTATACAGTTGTTCTAACTTAAACAGAGCTAATCTAGGCACCAAGGCACTGGTTGCCGTTTCATAGGTTCGACCCGACAGCCCATTAGCTAACGCACCGTATATGGCAACATGATAAAGCATTGGCTGCCGGCTGGCTGGCTGCGTCGACGGTTCCATGTATTGTGTGCATGTACTGTATGTGTTAATTGAACGTGCAAAAGTCTCCCAAAAACCCAATTAATTTTAAAAAATGGGGGCTGCAGACAGAAGTAAAAAACTTTATTTAAATTTTTTATTAACGAGTTTAATTACAATTTAAATATGTCGTTCCGTTAGTTCCAACATCAAAAAACAGATATACTTAAACTTATTACAATATTAAGTTCTCAAATCCGAAATTAATTACATATAAGTAGAAGAAGTTAAAGAGAAAACTTTAAACTATGTTATTACAGTACTATTTTTTGGATTTTCTATTTAATAGTAGTATCGCCCATTAAAATGATGTATGTATATTATATAAAGTATAATTTGTACTTCCACTGCTATCCCAGAGCAACACGTCATACTTATAGGCTTATAGCCACAGCTACAGCACGTTGGAGAATTACGCTATTCCTGATAGACACAAAATTGTGTTTATCAGGAAAACGCTCATAGTTTCTCACTTCAAAATTAATCAAATAAAAGCGGTTTACACATAGGGCATACATTCTAAAATTGTGGTAATGCCGTTATTCCGATGACAAACAAAATAAAATACTTTTAATGTTAATGTGTAAAATAAAATTTACTACTACTGTGTCCTTTCTCGTATATCGTTGATAGCTCAGATGGTTAGCGTCCGCTGTTAATATCACAGTACGCGAGCAACTCGGGTTCGATCCCCGCAGGCACCAATGAAGTGATGAACTGCAATTTTAAGTCTTGATTTACCACGTGCTCGGCGGTGAAGGATAACATCGTGAGGAAACTTGCATGTCTGAGAAATAAGAAAAAAATATTTCGAAGACACGAAGTTCGCCAACACGCATTGGGGCAACGCGGCGGACACTTCCTAGCCCTAAATCTCTCTCAGATATGATCAAATGCCTGTACCTAGCAGTGGAACATATATATGTAGGTTGTAACTTTAACTGCGATCTTCTTAAATGAACCTATTCTAACGCCTGTTAAACTTTTATGCGTACATTTGCATTTTACCGTATGTTTTTCTGACATATCTTTGAATTCATATTAGTTGAAATCGTGTAGTGGCGGTGTATGGAATCCAGTACACCTTATCGTCCCGTTGGTGTCACAAAATGAAACTGGTGAGGGGCGGCAGCGTCTCCTGACAGCAAGTGGAAACAATGAAAGCCTGTGGCCGCCAGTCCACTGGCCAGGTGCAGCAAGTGGGACGCAATCTAACACGGGGGCCTATGTTCAGCAGTGCGCTTTTATAGCTTGCAATGGCATGGTCATTTCAGTTAGGCCGGTCAAGCGATAACTGCTCCAATGCGCTACTGTGGGGAGCAGTGTTACCAATGTGCAAAGGTAAGGCGTCCGGCTCCGACGTGTAAAGTAGTAGAATTAAAGTTACAGTTTTTATTGTATACGTTTCACGTTGTATTTAGTCTTCAATTTGTATGCAAATACGAAATCGTCCAAATTATAATATTATACGTGGTAGAGCCATGCTACAGTTACGTTATTAGTATAGTTGTAACACGAACGGGTCGGCTCAACCGGGGAAGGACCACGCTCTCACAGAATACCAGCGTAAAATAGTGGCTTAATGCTGCTGTGTTTCGTATGGTGAGTGTAGAGAACCGGAAACCTTTTTTACTGGAAACGAGGCATTCCATCTTAGTCCTCACGGGTGACAACGCATCTGCATTTTGATTTGAAATCGAGGATAGATGTAGATGTCTATGGGCCTCAACAACCACTTACCATCAGGTGGACTGTGTGCTCGTTTGTCACCCTATCCTATAAAAAAAAGTTATACACGACTGAAAGGCCTCAATTCAGCAATAGGTTAAAAATGTACTTCTTTCACAGTAGACTATATTATTGCTATTCTTGGTGTAGAGACTATCGGATCATCTACACCTGCGTGCCGTGTACAAGCGATAGTGTCCCACCGAAGCTTCGGCTTCGGAAAAACCTACGGTTCCAGCCAAAACGGATTGAAGTTTTGGCCGAAGCTGAAATTGAACGTACTGTTACGAATGAAGTCGATAGATTTGGTGACGTAATGTTTTTTATCTCGAAATCAACTTTTAGAGATAATTGAAATTACCTTTTCATACTTTTATTAGCTTCGGGTGTATCTAAATACCTATGTAACGGAATATTTTAACTTAATTTTCACCGACTTGTAGAAGACTGAAAATTTGCACTCGTATCGAGAACCAATGATAATAAAATAATTTTATAACTACCCAATATTCTCATTAGGATCATCACAGCATGATCAATGAGTGTTGTTAAAGTGTTTAAAACTCTAATATTATTATATTATCAAACGCCTTTGATTGCGCGTCAGGCGATTGCGCCTGACATCAAAGGCGTTCTAAAACTGGAGAAATTTCATCATGAAACCGAACTTGAACACCGAATATATCGTGTCCGTTCAAGATTATATTTAAATAAAATTAAGTAATGTGAATGTACTAGTGTACATCTACATTACTTAGTTTATTCATTGGGATAAGAAACTAAATAAGAGGTTTTATTACTCTAATTTATAAAAACAGAGTTAGTTTATGAAAACTTATAAACGGAACGACAGTTCGTTGACCGTGTAGTAGCGGCATAAATGAATCCATCACTCCTCAACGTCCTGGAGGTTATACGTTCGGTCCACACGTCCCGGAGTGCCATAATTATATCGAAAGCCATTTTTGGCATTTCTCACAGTAGCCTCTTACGACACGCACGGAACGATGCATACATATTTTTACAACGCCACCAAACGCTTAAGAGGATCAGAATACCCCCGGGGAAACCTGTCAACTAGTCAGTTAATTAAGCTGGCTAAACTAAGCTGAAGAACTATCCACAGCTTGTGTCAAGCGCAAATTAATTTAAAACTGCGATGTTAATGTCAACTATACTATTATCGATACTTTTAAGTCTGTCCGATATAAACGAAATTTCATACGCAATATTTAAAAGAAAAATATAAGACTTGTGTTAAAAAATATAGTTTTTGTGTTCTTGTAAAAAATATCCAGTACTCCATATCGTCACGCGGGTGTTGTGAGGCGACAGTGGCAAACAAACCAGGAGACAGGCCACAGCGTCTGCCAAATGCCAACTAAAAATAAAAAATTGCGGTTGCCAACCCGCTCGCCGAGCGCCTACAGCAAATAAGCAAGGCAAGGCATTTCGTGGGTAGCACTATGTGTAGCAGTAGTATTTTATAAGCTGTTATAGGTAACGGTAACGGTTAAAAGAGATAGCGCTATTGTTACAAATAATTAAAAATAAAAGACAAAACTTTTGACGCGATTCATACATTATGTAAAACAACCATTAGATCCTTAAGATAAAGGTTTTCAATAATCAATATAAAATCGTATTAAACTTAAAGGAGTTCGTGGTAGCTCAGGGCTCAGGAGATAAGTGCCCGGACAGCACGCAAAGAATCTGTGAGCAAACCTACACTTTTAAAGTAAACCAATGATTTCGTCACCACGCGGTAAGGCTGTATAATGAATTCTGCAAGTTTCAAAAAACAAACCTCTCAGATATATGAAGATGCCTGTGCCCAGCAGTAGGACTTATAAAAATAATGACTTTATAGTTGAAGTTGAACATCTTACTTTTGCCTTGTAATAGATGGCGCTATTTAAAAAAGTACAACTTAAGTCTTTGATTTGATTGCTATTCCAGCTATTATACCTTACAACGTTTTTCCAATAATAAAGTATAAGAAATACATAATAAAGTTTTAATTGTTGAGTCATATAAATATCAGCAGTAGTTATGTAAATACAGTGCAGTAGATCTGCATTACATTTGCACAGCACCATCTATCGGAGACAGCGGTTAACTATTGTACTTTTTCTAACTGATATGGTATCACGTTAACATTACACAAAAAAGAATATGTTTCCAAACCAAAAAACAAAATCCAAAAAAAAAACAAAATACAAACAAGCGGTTTCCGAAAAGGCTTTGGTACCAAAGACCTCATTCATACCCTTCGGCAAATTGTACAGAAGTGCAAAGAGTACAATCTGCCACTTTTCCTTGCGTATGTGGTCTATGAAAAAGCTTTTATTCTGTCGAAATTTTGATACTATAGTCCCTTCAGAAGTGCCAAGTTGCCGATCTGTTTATCGAAGTTTTGAAGTGTTTGTACAGTAGAGCTACGATGGCTATCAGAGTACAGAACCAGAGTTCGAAACCTATCCAACTGCGGAGAGGTGTAAGACCGGGTGACGTTATATCCCCGAAACTCTTCACCTCTGCGTTGGAAGACGTTTCCAAGCTAATGGAGTGCAATGGTGTGCCAATCTCTGCAGCAACACACAACACCAAGTGCTTACAATGTTTGTGATGTTCAGTCTATATACTGAACATTCCTTTTCTTAATTCCGTGGAATATGTCAAAACAAAAGTGTCTACTGTATGTTTAGTGTTTTATATATACGTTTTATACAGTAATTACAAATTGAAAATTTAAGTTAGCACTAGTATAAATTAATATAGCCTAAATTAAAAGACTAAAGAGTTATTCTTAAAACATAGCTAAGAACACTCTCTACAAAGACACAATCAAAAAATAATGAAAATCGGTTTATCCGCATACATAGACACACTATAAACATAACGCCCCTCTGTTTTTATGGGTGTTAAAAAAACAATTATTTATTTTGAATTAGTTCTTCGTTGAATTTTATCAAATTGGGAGTATAAGAAATATTACTTGAAGTTAAAACTAAATATTTGAGGTAGATGAGATGACCCGCGACTAAGATGGAAATGTCTAATTTCTAATACCAAACAGTTTCGTTTCTCTTCTTAAGCATATCATGTTCTGTTGTTCTGCTGCTCCTCGCCGGTCCGAGTATTTTAATTCTTATGTAAACTAAATAGGTGTAAACAAGATGGGCATTGGCTTTATGCCATCTATCGGAAGCCATAAAAGTTTTCTGTCGTTGACTGTTCGTCTTTTACGACACCCATGGGATCCAAAGGGGTGATGGCTCATGGTTCTATTACACCGCCACCACGTGGCTCAACATTAGTTAAATAGAAATCAGCAAACATTCTTAATTTAGAAAATTACAAGATATATTTAATTTTATTTCATTATGTGACAAACAATTTTTTTCGTTATAAGAGTTACTCCATTTATGGCACATGTCGCGTACCTATGTTTATAATTAAAACAGGGTCTTTATGCGTTAGACGGCGCATGTTAGCATTATATCTCTCGGTCGTTCGGTTTTATTTTTTCCCGTTCATTTATTTTCCAACAAATATTGCCTTACTGTCTCTTTCATCTGTTTATGTCAGCTTTATTGAGATGATAATATGTTACAATAAAACTATCAATTTTTTACCCCAATTGAAAATACCGTCGCGAATCCAAACTAATTAGTGCTACATTAGCTTAATTTTTTTACGTCCATTTATGTGAACATTCTGCATTTATTTTAAAAGGAAAACAAAGTCATTTATCCACGTCAGAGTTATTTATTGAAGGAGGAAGCATGATATTTGCATAACTTATAACTAAACACATTGGGATGAGTTTAATATTCAGTGAATATGAGATATACATATTTTCGTATACAAAATATTATATATATTGGATTAAAACAATCTTTAGATTTTTCGGATGCTAACAAGGAAAAATACGTTTATGTAGTATGAGAAATATATTATTATTCTTCAGCCTCAATAATTAATTGGTTGTCAGTTGAAAACGGACCTAATCTTTATAATCGATTTTTTTTTTAATTGCTTTGCTTGTCAGACGGACTTGCAGGGATATAATTGCAGTTCACCGTCCTACACATTTGACAAATCTGAAATTATTATAACGTTATCTTTCGTCATGAATGTTCCGAAATCTGTTTAAATGAATTCAATCACTTAGAATATTTATCACATTGTTGTACTTTTTTAATTACGCCCGAACACAATTGACATATTTTTTTTATATCGAAACCATTGTAGAAGGTAGGTTCATCTTTCTCTACGGATTCCTTCAGTGGCCTGAAACGCCAAAGTTGCCAAAACAACAGCGTTACTGCCTCTTTCAGGGCCACAACCGATAAAAGTGTTTTGAATATGAATGAACAAGGTGCATTTATTATTTATTTATTTAATAAAAGAAAAAAATTTGTTTTCTTATCGGTCACCACGCTCAAAAAGTGTAACTTGAATTAATATCAAAGAAAAAGAAATACTGCATAAATAAAATAAATAAATAATTATAATTGCATAAGTTGATACAAAATGCTATGCAATAGCTTTACCGCGGCAGTCCCCGAGTGCCACACGTCTTTTTTTTTACAATAATGGTCTTCATAACTTTTGCCTTAAAGTGCATAATTTCTGAGATATAGGCTGAAAACGTTTTTTCAAGATGGCGCTTGAAGCGCCACCTGAATCTATCAGCATTTTGTGATTTTATGCTCAGTAAGTGATCCTAAACCTTATAATAATAAAAATTGGATCAGAAATTTAGTGCAGAGTTAAATTCTATTTTTATAAAAACATGAATTTACCTATATCAACATTCCACTTTCATCAGTAGTAGTAGTTAGATGAAAGGAGGTGCATTTTTTTGCGTTGTCGCCTCTTTATCTCAGTATCCTGATCAGGATGAAGAGGATAAAATGATTACGCTTTTTATAGCTTGACCTGTATTTATGTATTAATAAAGTGGAATTTTGTAATTTAATGTTTACACTTCTTTTTTTATTTAAAAAAATGTAACCACTCTAGGAGTTTTCTCCTGTTCCTGTATGGACAGTTTACATACATAAATTTCAAAACCATCCAGACCTGGAACGTTTTGTACGCCATACAAAAATTATTTCCTTGCAGGATTCGAACCCGCAGCCCTTAGCGCTGCAACTCATTGCTAAGCCACTGCGCCACGGTGCCGTCAAACTTCTAGAAGTCAGACTGACTTTATAACTTTGCATATAGATTACAATACAATAACTTTATTACTATGATTCAGTATTCTCACTAGGATCATCAATGCGTGTTGTTTAAGTTTTTTAAACTCTAATATTATTATACCATACACCAAATCATTTACCACGTGCTTGGCGGTGAGGATTGTGAAGAAACTGCATGTTGGGATAAGAGAAAAAAATATTTCGAAGATATGTGAAGTTCGCCAACACGCAATGGGGCAGCGCGGTGGATACTTCCTTACCCTAAAACCCACTTAGAAATCAGGGGAGGCCTGTGCCAAGCAGTGGGACGTATATAGGCTGTAACTTTACAGTCAATCATCATAATCATCATTAATATTTATTATATTATTAAGATAATCTTTTATTATCTTATTAATAAGATAATTTTTTATTATTAAGATAATCATCATCAGCCCTTCACAAGTTCACTTTTGAACTTAAGCCTTCCCCAAGGAATACCACCAAGCCGGTCCTGAGCCACACGTATCCATTAACTTCCTGGATGTCTTACCACGTCTTGTGTGCGTTCTATTATAGCTTTAATTTAAAAGTTTTGAAATCATTTATATTATTAATTTTAGCCGATATTGAACTGAATTTCTTAGGCTTTTTAATCATTCGGCTTCATATTTGACTGAACGTTGTATTGATAGCAGATTAACCAACTTCGGCGTCTGCTTCATCCACAAATCGATCTTCGGTCGGACACTAACCCGCCACTAGTCTTCGCCGCCGGAGACCAGAGAATAGGTTCATTTAACCACTGCAAGGTCAAGTACAACCGCTTAGTGAGAAACCGCAGCCAGTGTTCATGCCACTGTACCACAAGGGATGGTGCTAAATGATAAATGATTTTATTTCTCTTGTTAACAATGATAAAAAAACAAGGGGTAAAATTAAAGTATTTGTACAACCGACATTAAAATAAATAAAACCACAACTTCAATAATGCAATCGAAGTCAATTAAATACCCATAATCAGGAATTACTCAAAAACTACTAGTCAGATCTCGATCTAATTTATATGGGACCACGTGAGAAGACCAGCTTTCAAATAAAAAAAAATATCGTTAAAATCCGTACACTAGAAAAAAGTTCTGACGTAACACTCATAAAAAAATACAGTCGAAACGAGAATCGCCTCCTTTTTTGTAGTCGATTAAAAAGAACATTTGAATGTGATCTGTGAAATGAACTCACCTGCAGTGAGATCCGCAAACACCGGTACTGCTCCTGGACACTCCTGCAGCTCCTGAAATGTTGAGAACATCACCATCATTACAACCCTTCACAAGCCCACACATACGAGTAGCCTTCCCTTCCCACAAGGAACGCCACGGAACATAGAACAGAGCATTTGTAGGCAACAAATGTTTCATTTAATCATTAAACAGTTTAAATGTTATATTTAAATAATTTAAATATAGTTTTATAATAACCTAAGTTGCCAAATAATTAGGACACGGCCTTAACAGGTGGCCGTGAATGAAAAATGTGATAAGAGAAGAGAGTGTGAGCGATGTAGAAGTAAATATATAGACGAAATGTTTTTTCCTTTAAAAACTTCCGCGAGCGCCCCCATTTTTAACCGTGTTACCACAACCATTTTAACAGTTTTAACCGTGCGCACGTGTTAGGTATTAGGTTGTCAGGCACGTGTATAATGGGCCTTAAGGATAATCCGTCAGTGCCTATACGTGGTAGAGCCATGCTGTAACTATATTATGGTTGAAGCACGAATGGGTCGGCTCGATTGCGGAGGGACCACGCTCTCATAGAACACCACCGTAGAATAGCAGCTCAAGAGGGTTATAGATCTATGAAATCTGCCGCGGTGCTCCAATGGGTGCTGTCTGACTTCACAAGTCTACGAATTATTATTATTTTTTTCATACGTGTAGGTTTTTACTATTTTCCCTGACCGTTAAGCTCTTGGTAAATAAGTAATTAAAATTACAATGAGGTCCATCCACTGAACTGAACTGCAAAACAGCACAAGCATAAGTAAGCTAAGTGATGTCCGTTTGCCAGTTTGTCTAACGCACCAGAACACAACAGAGGAGGAACGTTTTTTTTTTAATTTTATTTTTTACTGTAATCTATAAGTATACATAATTTTAAATTGTCGTATCCGTCAAATTGTTGTATTCTTTTTTTTTAAAGGGGACAATCATTTTTGGGCCCACTAAAAATATTAACGTCCACTAATGGTATTACATCAAAAAAAAGACACCAAATTATAATAGTAAATGGCCTACAGATTTTTCGAAAATGTAAACGGAATCAAGAAATACGAAAAAAAATTAGTTGTTTTGATATTCGTGTTCTGATTAGTGTAATATGGGTAAAATGCGTGTACCTAATTAGTCATTTTGCAGCTTGTATAAAAAGAAAACTATTTTTTCACAAAGCTGACTTAAAAAAAGATACCACTAAGAACTTTATGTTTAATTTCTAAAAATTTTAGCTAATATCACGTTATAACATAGTTCTAAATGACTGTGAACCAAAACGTTATTTTATCATTGACTTCCGGTAATTCCCAGCGGCCGGCGGCCGGGTACGGCGGGGCGGGGCGGCGGGGTATTACCTACGTCTTTAATCTTAACGGCATTGACGTTCGTTACGCTACTGTTTTTTTGTATTTATATGCGATTTTAAGAAAATGGAATCTGCTAGATCAGCATACAATGAAAATAGAAGTGTATGTTGCAATTGTGGAGTCAGGTTTCAACGCAGTGTGCGAAGACAATTACTGGCCGAGACAACTGCTGATGTGCGCCAACTTTTATCTGTGTGGATTTCTCATGAGGTAGGTATAATATTATCTCATGGAAAGCTAATCACTGCACTATACAATCTATCTACTTACATATTATCTAGATTTAAACTTTTATGAGAAATATATATTATTTTTGTTACTCTCGATTTTATTCCAACAATATTACTATACTGCGGAAACGAAAATTATATATTTTCTTTATTAATGTATTACTTAATATTTTTATTTTTGTTGAATAATATGGGATATGGTACGATTTTTTAGAAATAATACGAAAGAAAACGATCCACAGACTCCAGGCACACATAACGATCTATACATGATTAAGTACTTAATTATTTTAAGTTTTTAAAAGTAATAATAAATATCCCTTCATATTATTAATAAATTCATACCTTCTATAGCTATAATTTTAATCTTTCGTTATATTAAATTGATAAATGATATATTATATTGATTGAATTATTTTATATTTTGACACAAGATGACACTGCATTCTTTCCTGCTATTTACCAACTTACAGGCATAGTTCTTTGCATTGACTCCATTGACTGGCATTGACTGTAAAAATATAATATGGCATAAACTTGTTTGTTTAAATTGATGTAAACTGTGTTCGTGTTAAAGTAAAAGTTTAAAAATGAAAATTCACGTAGTTTTACTGCTTACAAGTGGATTAGTATGTTAATGTCTAATTGATGCAAAAAATGTTTAACCTAAGGGTTATATCATGCACGTAAGTCAAATATTAAATACCTATATCACATTTATGTATATAATTTGCCAATGACATTCGAAAATGCAAACTGACGAGTAAAAGTCCATGTGAGTAATATAAAAGTTTATTTTTTCCTCCTAGAATTTTGTAAAATCTATAACTTATACTGAATTAACCTTTAACAAATGATAAACACAGGTCTTACTAATGTGTTAAATGTTAAAGTATTGAAGTTTTATGTTATTAGTGAAATCTAATTTAAATAATAGATAAAATAAAGTCACACAATATACACAAAAAGAAGTTTTTGTGGCATGGTATGATGTATCACATGTTATGTGTGTCTAATTATCTTTTGTCAGTCAATCAGAAATCAAAGTCGAAAAAGTATAGGTATATATGTGTCAATATTTATTCTAAGGATAAAATATTATGTAAATAGAAAAGTAAGTTATTTTGTGCAATGAAAAATATTTCAATCCACTGTAATATTACCGTTACAGCCAATTAAACTCCACTGCCGAACATAGGCCTCCCCCATATATTACTAATATTACACAACTCCATAATACTCTAATATTATAAAGTTTATTTATCACTATATGATATACCTGAAATACTGTAAATATTGTAAAATCATAATATATTAATCGATATTTGTCTTTTGGATTTCCAATTTTTTTTTTAATTGAAAATGTATTGTATTTCAAATAATATAGGGTTCCACATCAAACATTCACTTTCATGCCAACTTCGCTTCCCTCCTCAAAATGTACATTTATCTGAACTTAATATTTATTTACTCTTTTATTTTTAATTCCTGATTTTTTTCAGTTACACCCACTTGATGCAGTTTGTTGTAACTGCCTAAGAATATTGCAAGAAAGTGTTGCATCAGCTCACTCCATTAGAAGATTTGGGTACAGGAATATTTGTGTTCCATGTGGATCTTCAATGTTAAGAGCACACCGTAGACGGATTGTGCCTATTAACTCTGAAGAAAGAGATATTATTTTGCAGTGGATACCATCACACCAGGTACTTACCTTATTTTAAAAGGCTGTAAATGGTCCCCTGCCTCAAATAGGCAGCCCAGAGGATTTGCCACAATCGCTTTGGTACACAGATTGATGTTTGTAAAATCAGACACCTTGCATACAATTTGGTCTGATATTTATGCTCATTCAACATGGCAGTTCACTAACAGGTTATCTTTAAATTTACAGTCTACCAAAAGTCTACTGCTGAACATAGATTGTCTTATGGGGGGATATTTGCCATTAATAACCAATTTTTTTATTTTTAGTTATTAGATGAACGATACTTCTTCCTTATCTTACACCCATATTTGTATGCTTTTGTACTTATTATACAAGTAATATTTTTTACCTTAAAAGACATTAGTATAAATAAAACGGGTTGGGTTTACAATTCGGTCGCCTCAATTTGAAGATTCTGTTACTGTGGGGGGGCGTCAAGGGAGTTTATCTGAAGCACCTACACGCGAGTTTTGCTACCGGAGCAGCATCGAAGTATTTTTATTTATTTTTTGAAAATATTGGTAAACAACTAATTAATTAAATATTCTCACGTTTTTGACGTTTTATCTGTCAATGTCATATCGATATATAGTACTAAATCGATCTAGTGAATCGATATTTCACCCTAGAGAATCAAGATCAAATCTTTTCTGTTTTGTTAAGATTTACAAAATTATTTATAATTAGTTGAAAGTACCCCAACTCGTAAAGAATGACAGTTTTTCAATTTAATCATTCAATGTTATCTGAAACTTTAAAGAACTTGGGCTTAGTGAAATATTGTTAATAATTCTAAAATAATTACTTCTTGTCTGATATGTGATGTATTATTTATTTCTATTTAAATAAGTAGTGCCACAAAAAATATTATGAGGGGAAACAATTGCATGCTAATATTTATAATTTTAAAAGACATTAAAACTATTTAGTGTTAGAAAGATTGAAATAAATAGAACAATAATAAATATTATTAATATTTAGAGTAGACACTGTAAAACTATAGTTCATTTTGTTAGTTGATAAAAAATAACTTTTTTCAGGTGGATCGTTTAGAACGAGTATGCAGTCCTTGCTGGCTGAGAGCTTCCAGAGCTGTATGGAGACAGAGACAACAAAATGAGAACAGGGATATTGAGCTACAATCCATGAATATAGAAGACATCGGTAACATCCCACAACCACCCCCTATACCTGCACCTGTAACCCCTGCCATTTCCAGAGCGGCATCAACAATTACTATGGCTAATTATAAGCGTGCTGCTTCTACTTCCCGTCACTGTATTTTTAAGTCATGTAATCATTCATCTAGATTTTTAATACCTAAACTACTTAAAGAGAGATTGCTGATAGATCACTCATTTTATGTGCCACTGTGCGCTCGTATTTGTGAATACCATTTAAATGAACCCCACAATGATTGGAATAATTTATTCACGAGTAGTAACTGTTCAGATTTTACTGCATCTCAGATAGACAACCTTTGTTCCTTACTTAAAAGTAGTGTTACTCAAAATTATAATATTTTAAATATCATTGAACATAATTCAATATTATGCAAATATTGGTTAGGATTTACCAAATACCAATTTGAACAGTTACTAGTTGAAATTCCATCTATCAGTGAAAGAGTTAAATCACCTAAAAGAAGTCTAGCTATGTTCTTAGTGAAACTTCGTACAGGTGATAGCAATGAACGCATAGCTTCTCTATTT